TAAACTTTAGTGATTTATGGAGCTTCTTGGTGGAAATATAGCCATAGCTATTTGTTGTTAGCGCTTATCTAGCTGCTAACTGTAGCTGCTGTTAGCTGGTTAGCCTGCAGCTAACTTCAGAGAATGAATCAGTTAGAAGTTAGCAGCAGCTAGCGGTTAGCTTATAGCAACAGGTAAACTCCATAAATGGAGAGGAAAGAACTGAAAATGTGTAACTTTCCTTTACAAGCAAAAAAGCACTTTCTGTATACAAACATTAAAGGGTCAGTCCTGACTCCTGAGCAGAGATATCGTAGACAGATGGAGCGTGTCCCTATACTTTGTGGTCGCGTTCTGCCTGGACCACATAACAATATAAAGTTAGTCATAAACTGTCAGATGGTTGAAATGGCAGAGTTTTGGACGGTGGAAAGAGAGCAGCACCTCATCATATTAACACGAGCCTTAAAATGTACCCGTGCATCAGACAGTTTCAAACTCTCTCATTTTATTGAGTTTTCATTGTTTCGTCAATAAAATGCAACTGTAGCAAGTAACTCACTATGCTACAAATTACATCCAACTACAATCCTGAAAAACCGGCAGTCCAGGGAGTCGCTGCTATGGAGACGATACACCGTCTTGTCTAGTTGCATTGTTGTGAACTGGCAGGTTTTCAGAAAACCAGCACATTGCAAGTGCAAGTTTCAGCTTCTTGTTGCTTATCTTCGGTCTGAAGTGAGCTTTGAGACCCTCTGATTGTCCTGCCAACTTCTCTTATAATGGCAAATAAGAAGACGCTATTCGATCAGATAAATGTTTCACAGTTCTTACGGTTTATCTGACAGTATATTCTGTGTCTGTAAACTTTTGAACTGTCACTGAGAAGCATACAGTGCATTGCTCGTGTTGCAGGCAGCAGGTTGGATGGGGCAGCCCCATGATAGTCATTGCATCTCTTCCAAATAAAATACCAGCTGCCAATGTAATCATCGGCTGATGAGGTAAAACCGGATAAAGGACCAAGATGAGGAACAGGATGACACAGGTCGTCTAGTGTTACTCTACTCAGAACTGAGTGCTGCAGTTTGTGTATGCAGGATCTGAACTTCATAAGCATGTAAAACATAGATGTCTGAAATAAAGTCTGCTTTCTTTATCAAAGTGATACAGACCAACATGTAGCTGTTGTGAATGTCTGAAACGAGCAGTGCATTCTACATAAAATGCAAAATCATGCAGGAGATGCAATACAGAACTCATTTATCTCATATATGCAAAGTCATGATAACACAGGGCATTTCACCTACTTCTGTGCAGAGCAAACCAGTTTCAAGTCATGTCCTCAAAGACACCACCTACATTTTTCATTGAGAAGACGTGGGATGGAAACCTATGCCAGACTTGAACTGAATATTTGAGTTAGTGCAATGCTGTGTGCACCTCTAATACAAGAGCATTGTTCAAACTTAACTATATCTCTTACTCTCAGACTTTACACCTTCAGCAGTGACACCGCAGTTTTTATTTATTTATTTACTACAGTACAATTGGAAATCCAGTATGCCGGCTTACAATGACATAGACGTAATGGACGGTTAGTACAACAAATAGGTTGAAACCTATTAAACTGAAATAAGTGACTTCATAGGGAGAGTGTGCATTCAAACTGCTGTTATAGTAACTTGCACGCATCAGTCAACAGAGATTAATGCTACATATACACGCCATGTATCTGGGCAACCAAAGCGATTGTCAACAATGTTACAGTTTTTTGCCCGTTACCTTGCAAACATGTCACATTTCCGTGTTTATCAACAGATTTTTTGTAAAAGATTTGGCAGGAAATTGAAAAAAAACAAAACTTTTGGACTAACAAGAACAACATCTCTACAGTTTTAACGGTAATATATTAAGAAGATACTGGTAATTCTTAATACTTCATTTCCTTTTCAGCGCCAATAAAAAAGGTCCAGTGTGTAACATTTGGAAGGATTTATTGGCAGCAATTGAATATAATATTCAGATATGTTTTCATATGAATAATTACCTTAGAATGAGCGTTTTTTTTTTTTTTTTATCTACAGACGCTGTGGGTCGCCTTCAATGAAGTCCACCATATTTCTACAGTAGCCCAGAATGGACAAACCAAACACTGGCAGTAGGTAGGGACTTTGGCAACCACTTTAGTTTCTCTTACACGCTTCACAGCCCGTTCTCACAAGCGGTGTTCAGTTAGTTGCAATCTGTGACTTCACCACTAGGGGCCACTAAATCCTACACACTGGCCCTTTAAAATAAAAGAGCTGTATCTTATTTGACAAACTGTGAGCTGAAACTATATCAAACAAAAGCATTTTTTTTTACAGACACCAAAGCAAAACATTAGAGGCAGAGGAGACTGTTCGGCGAGTGAGAACCTCACAAGTCTTTGAGTGCGTCTTGTCCCTTTGGGTTCTCCAGCCAGTGAGGAGGCCAGCTGGCTTTGACGCTGGGCCGCTCCTTCACCAAAGCGTAATACTCTCCCAGTTTAGGGTACTTCTCAGCAGACAACCTATAGAAAGAGAAAGTAGGAGACATTTGAACTGCAATGACAAGCCACACATCATCACTTATTCCGTTAGTGCGACTTCTAAATGCCCAAATACCCGAATCTGAAAAGAGTAGCAACAGTTGGAAAAACAGTCGCATCCACCAGCGAGAAGGATGGTCCTGCCAGGTGAGAGTCCGTGCCCAGCTTGAAAGAAAGACGTGAAAAATGTCAACATGTGTGAACCACGGCAATGCATGTTGAGTGTGTGTTTGTGTGTGTTTACTGTTCACTGTTCACTGTTCACACGCTACCTTCTGCAGGTAACCCTCCCAGAGGTTGAGTTCAGTGGCCAGAGCTTCCCTGTTTCTCTTCAGAGCTGAGTCATGCCTCTCTCCTTCAGGGACAAACCAGTCATAGTAGATAACCGCATCTTAAAAAAGAAGGAAAAAACACATACACATTAATATATTTATTGGATAGTGGCTTCACAGGGTGTATGCTCTTATTTCTTTGGCATAAGTGTAACATTTTCATAAATATGTTTTTGTCTTAAAAAAGGACCAGTGTGTAAGATTTAGTGGCATTTAGTGAACTTACGCTCAGCTTTCCAAGCATGTAGGAGAAACTAAGGTGCCCCTGTCTAGAGCCAATGTTTGGTTTGTCCATTCTGGGCAGCGGTAGAAATATGGCAGTTCAACATGGCCGCCTCCGTAGAAGAGGACCCGCTTCCTCTGTAGACAAAAACTTCATTCTAATGAAAACATGCTTCTTATTTTCATGTGATTATACACTAATAAAAAAGGTACCTATAAATATCATATTCCATTTCTGCCAATAGAGCCTGCTAAATGTTACACACTGGACCTTCCTTCCTTAATTTATTTGTCTTACTGAGTTTTTCGTAGAAGGTGAGTCCCTCAAACATTCGTTGGTACATCAGTGCTTGTTCCTCAGGGCTGTCTGGGATCAGTTTGTTTCCCTGGGTCTTAAACTGACTCTGCCATTAAGAGAGAAAAGACATGTCACACTTAGTAATGCTGAATTTAGTGTTGGTGTGTGTAAAAGTGCTTGTTGTCGCTCACCTCCAGGTAGAAACAGGCTGCGTAGGATTCATTCACAATGACGTCTCCGTGTTTGAAAGAGGGGAGCTTAAAAATCAAATAGGCTATAATGTGAGCAAGAAAGACTCTTCAGGGGTTAACTGCTAATAGTGTTAGCATCATATATGTTGTCTTAATGCTCAAACCACTGGGAGCTAATTAAGAGAACCTGCTGAGCTGCATCACACAGGGGAACACAAACTGGCTCACCACAAAGTGTTTTTAACAAAACATGGCAGTTAGCTAACTCTGTTAAAAGGTACAGTTTGAGAAGTGTTTTCCAAGGCAGTATGACTGCACAAATATTTACTGCAAATTAATGGTAGTGCCCTTATAGTAGGTCACATTATCACATGGCCCTGAAGTAGCCTCATATACGCCTAACTACATTCAAAATAGTTAAATCTTATCTTGTTTACTGGTCAAATACACGCCTCATAAACCATAAATTAAGCCTTTAAGTGACACTGAAAGGTTTATGATTACTTTGTCATGCTGACAGTTACACCTACTGTAAGCATAACTGTTGCACACCGCACTCTGTGGTGCGTTTGAGTGAAAGGCACTTCAGTGAGCGATATAAATCCCAATTTTCCTTTAAAATAAGTTCAGCTTGATGAACGTAATATAAGCCGAATTAAAATGCACAAACACGTGATTAGTCAAAAGCATTCAACCATGTTTTTGCATGTGTGCATTTTTGTTGGGAAACTGGAAAACATTGCATAGATACAGTTCTGAATGGAGTTTGGCGTAGCCTTACAAAACAGCACGTATTTCAGGCATACACTACAAATGGTGGGGTTGTTATGCGCTAATGTTATTTGTTCGGGGTGGGAATGGATATAAGGAGTAAGAGTCTAACGTTATTTGACTTTTTAAAAGGGTTACGGTGGATTTGAGCTACACCCTACCTGTCCTCTGGGGTTTATGTCTAACACTTCTTGGGACTTGTGCTCCATTTTCTCGAAGGAGAGCAGCTTTTGGTTGTAGCCCTGCAGGTTCTTCTCCTCCAGAGCGATCATCACCCTCCAGCAGGGAGGAGAGCCGGAGCCCCACAGCAGAGTCATGTCCTGGGCCATGCTTTCAGCTTTAACAGCCGGAGCTCTCTGAAGACCACTGCTGCTCAAGTGTCACACGAATTGCGCATCAAGAAAAGGGATTTACTGCCACTCTTTGCACAAGTTCATGGGGATCTCAAGTTGTAATAAAAGCGCACATTACCACCTACTGGCGAGGAGGAGGTATTACAACTACAGTGTTTATAATAAAATATATATCTTTATCAACAATTGTGTCAGACTTTTGTCATATTAAAAATTAAATACACAATTAGTTTGAAAATAACATATAATCTTTTATTAAATTCAAAGTTAACCAAACCTAGATAAACAATAACACGGTGAAGGTAATGTCAGTGGGTTTCAGAGATCCTTCAGGATGTCACAACCCTGTGGGCTGGCCATCCAGTGTGGAGGCCTGCTGGCTTTAATGCTGGGTCTGTCCTTCAACAGGCTGTAATATTTGGCCAGCTTGGGGTAACGTCCAACGGACAGCCTAAAGATTAGAAACAAGGTTATGATGTTACTGAAAAAGAAATCCAATCCGTCGGGGCTCATTCTTCCATCAAGTACTGAACTCAGTCACCTACCCGAAACGGAAAGCATAGGCAACGTTTGGGAAGACAATCACATCAGCCAAGGAGAAGGCCCCTGCCAGGTATGAGCCTGCAGCCACCTTGATGCAGAAATCAAATGAAAGAAACACTTCTGTCAGCATAATGTGTTTACACGTCTGTGTGCCTGTGCTGCTCACACGCTACCTTCTGCAGGTAACCCTCCCAGAGGCTGAGTTCAGCAGCCAGAGCTTCCCTGTTTCTCTTCACAGCAGACTCATGTCTCTCCTCCTCAGGGACCAGCCAGTCAGAGTAGATAACTGAATCTGAGACACACCATCCAACATTGATATCACATTGTATTCAGTACTTCTGCCCATTTGTTCCTCTTCAATCTGTGTTGGTATTGGTGTGAGTGTATCTTACTGAGTTTATCAGTGAGGGTGAGACCCTCCATCATGCGTTGGTACATCAGTGCTTGTTCTGTAGGGCTGTCAGGGATCAGTTTGTTTCCCTGGGACTTGAACTGATTCTGTCGCAGAATAATAGAAATTTGTTTGTTTTTTTAACTCTCTGAAGTGTAAAGAAGAGGCAATGTGTTGTTTCAGTTTTCTATACTTTACCTCCAGGTATAAGCACACTGCACTGGACTCATTCAGTATGTTGTCTCCGTGTTTAAAGGCAGGAAGCTGGCAGATACACAATACACGATAACTACATTGCATAACAAATTAACATTATTTTTTGGTTTATATAACTTAATTTTGTCATGTGCTACAAAGACAGTTTTATAACAACATATTTTTTTTTTACATTAATCAGTACTTTTAATTTGATTTCATAAAACAAAGATGAACAAAATTAAACTATGGAAATATTACACTGGCTATAGGAAATCAACCCCCGTAATCCAGAGGCCAACCCAGTTGATATGGTTTTACTGTCACTGGATTTGACTAAAACATATACAATAGGAATATGATTGTTTTTCCTGGACTGCATGCTACACCCACCTGTCCTCTCGGGTTGATTTCCAAGACTTCCTGAGATTTGTGCTCTCCTTTCTCAAAAGACAGCAGCTTGTGTTTGTAGCCCTGCAGCTTCTTTTCCTCCAGAGTGATCATAACTCGCCAGCAGGGAGGGGATCCAGCCCCCCACAGCAGACTCATTGACTTGGCCATGGACACAGGTGGTGCAGACAGAAGCTAAGTCGAAACAAAACTAAAAGACTCAACATTGAACTGCCCAAGTGAAGTGAGCAGCGGTTGTGCAGTTTATGACAGCTTATTTATCCAAAGGTTGCTCAGTAGAGGCACGCTCACATGCTCTAGTGTGTATACAAGGAAGAAAAGAGGAAGCAGTGAAGAATGACATGCACGTCCTTTTTTTTCACTCAATGGTTTTTGTTTTTTTTATTGCAGAATGTGTATACACAGCATTTCAAGTGAAAGTGTATGTAACCGTGGTTTTGTGTTCGGCTCACTACGTGGCATTTATGCAGTGATATTTCCCAGTTTCTGTTGTGCTGTGAGAGGAGCACATGGTTCAGCTGGGACTTACATTATCCGCAACCTGTTCAAGTTCATACAAAGTACAATGTGACCACAGAGTTTAAAGCTGTCCTCTCTCAGCACGGAGCAAAAACACATATTTCAGCTGTGAGCACATCTTTCATTTCTTTTATCTATTATTACAATTCACAGAATAGCCTCTTTTTTCCATTCTCTCAGACTATGATACAAGTTTCTACAGAAATTACAAAAATAATACATCACATGAACCGCACTAAACATGCACACTGTAGTACTACAGTATTTAGTACCTGGCAGCTGGAAAGGGCATTTACACATTTTATGCAGAATTCTCTGCATGTCCTTCAAAATAGATTATTAAAATAAAAAAAAAATGTCTTTATCCTTTTGTCTTTTTACACTTTACAAACAGTTCCTCTGAGATAAAAACTTCCTTTTCTCTGTGTCGTTCATTTCAGCATGAGAAACTATTAATGTTGAGTAAGGTGCAAGATGTCCGAGCTTTGCAAATAAATACTAGAACACTTCGGCCAAAATAAAAAAAATGAATTCATTATAATCAACACTCGTACTCGATATAACTACGCCTGTGAATGTGACATTTGTGAGTTATCTGAGAAGTAGGAGGTGCGTGAAACAAGATGGCGTAAAGGTACAGTGTTGTCCCTTTTAAATGAAAGGCACACATCAGACTGAAAACCTTTCACATTCCTACTGGACACAACTACACTCGTCACTTGTCAAACGTGCAGCTGCAGAAGCAAACATCTGCCTTTTCACAAAGGATCATTCTTAGTAAGCCTCTTTGTTTGTGGTGATCTCTTGGGATTCTGGAAACTGGATAGGACAACTAAATAAAACTTCCTCTTCAGCCTGTTAACCTTTATAACGGAAATTCACAGCTTAAATAAATGAAAAATGGTGAAGTCACAGCTGCAGAAACTCACAAGCAAAAATTATCCCTTTGGACTAATGCAACATTTCAAATATGTTTAGATAAATAAAAAAAAACGTTCAATTCAGTGTAGAGGCAACGTCGCTGAATTGAATTTTTCTTTTCCTTGCCAAGTTGAATACATCGGTCCTTATTTGACGTATTCTCTGTCTTCGCTTACACTTTTTGTTGCCAAAAAAGAAAACACTATCATGGCTGCAGCTTCATCACTCAGACACATCAGGCAAAATGAGCACCCGGCAAAAACCTACAGGGGTTTATGACGAGTGGAATACAACTGTGTAAAGTGTGGCGAAGGCAGGCACCGGACAGAGACGTTGCTTCGATGGTTGTAGCTGTGTTTCCACGGCAGTGGGGGAGGTCTGATGATCACATTTATGTGTCCGGAGAATCGGTTAGTCCTAAAGCAAGAGCTTCCTCTGGGGTCAGACCGTTCTTCAGAGTCCGCCTCACTGCAGGAAGAGAAGATCAGTTATCACATGGTCATGTGCTCAGACTGACAGTGTGTCCCCATTCCATACTAAATACTAACTTTATGCAGTATGTGCTATAAATGTCATAGTATACGGTTTTTGCAGAAGAAATCAACCTTCCTTTTTTAATTTTTACTAAGTAATCTTCTAATTTCAAGTTTAATCAACCTAGAATTCTAGTTTTTAAATTTATTTTATTTAGACAATTTCAGAGTTCTTTTAACTTGAAAGTTTATTAACAGGAAATGATTGAATACTGAAGAATACTTGCTCTCTTGCTTTGTTGACGTCCATTAAACTGTGACTTTAAAATGTTGCACTCTCCCCAAACACATGTGAGTGCTCTGATCATGCTGTGTTCAAGTCTCACCTTTTTACTTTAATTGCTTTTAATGTCTGACTGACTTTATGTCGTTCTACTACTCTGGGCTTGTATTTAGTACATTGTGATTTAGTATTGTATGATACTAAAGGTCAAACTCCCTTTCCTATATTGCAAGCAACAGTGTATTTCATTAGACCCTTAGCCTGCCTCATTTATCCACTGACACCTCTTTCAGACTTCACACCCTTGGAATCATAACACAGGCCTTACTTTAAAAATTTAAAGGCTCAAGTCCAATTCAATGAGCAACTTCTTCTAGTGGATTCAAGACAGGAGTTAAGCATTAAGGTCATACATGACTTGCGGTTGGCCCTGGACCTTCTCCTCTCTCTGGGTTGGGCTCTGGTTCCTGGACCCTGAGTGGCCGACCTCACTATCCGCTCCATGATCTCGTCTGCAGCGTCGTCTCCACAGAGCTGAGTGTCCTCCACAGGTGGCGTCCATGCCGGCATACTGCGACCTGGACCAATCGAGCAGAATGACAAAGGCTTATGTGTGAACAAAGAAACCCTTTAAAGTGCCGTGCAACCCTGTAAGTAACTTCCTGTCACCCTCACCTCCCCGTCCGGGCCGGGATCTTGTCCGTGTCCGAAGCCCTGGTACCCCGGTGGCCTCCTTGTCGCCGCCACTGACGCTGGTTCTCAGCACGGCCTTCATGTGCTCGTGCTCTGCAACATCCTCAGAGTGGCCCAGACCCTGAGGCCGCTCACTCTCCTGGCTGCCACTAGGGGCGCTGCTGTTGGCGCTGGAGCCGTACCGACCACACTGGAGGGGAGAGAGAGAATGGAGGACAATAAGAATTTAGCACCTTGTATTTAAGTATTTTTGGCTGTGGCTCAAACATGCCAAAGCTGATGCATCAAGGGAAACATCCAACCTGTAAAGATTACAATTCCTGCTCTACTTTATTGACTCATCCACTCAGATGTTAAAATCAGTGAGAAGTAAAAGGAAAACTATGAGATAAAGTGGTCCAGTCAGGGTTAGTGGTTTCATGCACACACACACACACTCACAGTCAGCACACATGTTGATACCTCACTCTCCTCTTCATCATCAGACTACAGAGGAAAGAAAGAGTGAAAGTCAAGGACTAGGTCAAGAGAAAATGAATGGAAAACGCAGCACTAGATTTGGAAAGAGAAGAGCAAGAAAATATAGTTGAAAGCGTGTCTTTGTGTGAGAGATTCTGCGAGTGTGTGTGAGGCTCACAGGAGCGTTGACGTCCATGATCATCTTTCCTCGGGTCTTGTTACGTTCGCGGTGGTCGGCTCGTTTCTGTTTCTGCTGCAGCACACGGTCTCGGGTGGTTCGGTATTCCAGCGCAAACTCGCTGAGGATTTTACTGAACCTGTGGACGCTGATCTCTCTCACACTGTAGGCCGGATGGCCGAGGAACAACAGGAACGAATGGAACCTGGGAGAAGAACGAGAACATTTTCCTGTAGTGTCCCCGTGGGGAAGTAATTTCTCCATTTTTATGATTGTGACAGCTCACTGTATTTTAGGCTGCTCAAGATTTATTCCCAAAGTTGCACTAGACAATAAAAATTTGAACTACCTGTTGATGATTCTGCGGTGAACAATCTTAAGGATGATAATCCTCTCAGCACAGTCTTTGAGGAAGTCAGACATCTTCTGCTTTAGTTGGGGCTTCATCTCATGCTTGGCGATCACCTTAAGGTGGTCCCATGAGGCCTTGCAGCGCCGCTCCATCTGACACAAGTTCTCCTGCAGCTGGTCGAAATCCACCTGACAGAAGAGACGATAATACAAATAAGGTACTTGTGGAGGGAAAATACTATAAACAAAAAGTCCTCTTAGTGGCCGTATTACATCCTGCTTATAAAAAGTTCAACATCATTCAGCTGCAATGTAAAACATCATCCAGAAATGTGTCTTTTAACAACAATTTATTGTATATATATCTTATTTATTAATTTTCAAGTTAAATCAATTCAGAATTTCTAGATACTTATAAACAAGTTATTTTGACTTGAAATAATGATTTAAAGGAAAGTGTTTATAAACGGCATATTGACAGACAGTCGGCATGTATTGTTCGATAAATATATCTTTGTGGACACCCTCACTATGTTTCTTTAATACAGTGGTTTTCGACCTGGGCTCTGGGAAACCCCAGGGGTTGTTGAGGCAGTTCCAGTCCGGTCCACAGCTAAATTATTTCATAGTTATTTAATTACAGGTAGAAGTTAGTCCAATGAGAATATGAATAAGAATGAGTATTGTGTTAATTGGATTCACAATCTCCACTCTTAATCTGCCACAGATGAACAGTGCTGCTATAGTTATGAAACAACTAAATCTTATCAGAGGGAATCCCTGAGACTGCATCTTATCAAATACACATCTGTGGCCTGATGTGTATCAATTTGGGGCCAAAAAGGTTGAGAATAATAATAATAACATCCCTACCCCTGTAAACTTTAAACTGGTTGATACATTTTTCAAACTGTAAAATTTTACTAAACAGTTGTTGTTTAATATCTTAAACATGAACTTTAGTAAACGTAACTCAATTTAACACTACAAGAATTCACAGGCTTCATCAAACAATTCAAGTTGAGTTCAGTGACTGTAAGTCACATTTTTAGGGCAACAGCAGAAGTTATGTTTTTAAGTTTAGCCAGCTTGAAAATGTTTTACAGCATAGGACTGTGAAATAGTATGAATATGAGCTTTCCATCAGTGAGAACGGAGCGTACTTTAGCAGATCGCGTGATGGCTCCGATCTCGGAGTAGAGGTCGGTGCTCTGAGGGAAGTTTTCCACCACCACAGAGCAGACGTGATGCAGCAGAGACTGCTTATGAACCGTGTCCTTCACCTCTGGAACCTTCTCCAAATATGTCATCTCAAAGCCTTTAGCCTAGATACATGGACACACACACACAAACATACACACACACAAAACA